TATATATATATATATATATATATATGTATATAAAATTAATACTTAAACAGTCAAGCAAAATAAAATCAAAAGGAAGGACTGTGTTAAAAACAACAGATCCAAATCTGTGATAAATTACATTTAAATGAACAAAAAGAAGCCCCAAAAAATTAAATTAAAGATGCTGCATGTATTTTGTCCATATACAATGATGAAGTTTTATATTATACATTGCATACAAATCTATAAAGTATTATTAGTTATATTTTCTTTTTAGGATGGTAGTCCACTTTCATAATACAGTGAAGTTTAGCACTATATAACAATGACGAAAAAATATAGAAAACAAAACCAAAATATTGAATGTGAAACTCAAACTGCCCCTCACAACAAAATTATAAAATATAGTAATAAATAAAATAGATTAATCCATTATTCTGCCAGTAACACATAAACAAGGCAATTAAAGATTATATTATCTGCCAAGAAAGTACAAAAGGTAAATATTTTAAAGGAAAAATGTCTGTGACAGTAGCTCCAAATCTTTGGGGGTATCCCATCTGTAAGTTTTAGAAATATAGAAATTAAGGGTGTTTTTTTAATAACAAGATAATTTGTACCAATGATGCTAAGTTTAACATTATTTTAATGATATTTATGGTTGACTACCTTGATCACAACCAGCTTTGGACAATGAGTGGTAATAGGTTTTTGTGATGTTGTGGGTGATAGCAACCAAAATATATCCCCTATCCATGCTAGCTCTCTTGTTTTTCATCTATGTTTTTTTGGATTATGTCTTGTAGACAGGATAACCTCAGTGGTTTTGAGAACTATTGCCAGACATTTTTCTTAAAAAATTATACCCGGAGATGAGAATATATTAGTTATAAATACTAGTAATCAGTTAGTGATATTAATGAGAATTCAGTGAAGTACCTAGTATGAGAGTTCAATGTCAGAAAAGCTACTCAGTAAGGGTTATCATGAATATTCAGTTACTAGATTGACTAGTTGAGGAATTTTACAAGTAAGTTTATTTTTGTAAGTTAGATATAGTATCACTGGTGAGGAATTTCTGTTGAAACATTATTTGTGAACTTAGGTGTACAACTTGTGTCATATTGAGCATAACTTGTAGGAACTGTGATAATCTTGTTCCACATCACATACAACTATGTTGTCAACAGAATTTTTGACTTAAAACAAGTAAATGCCAGGAAATGTTTATTAACATATAAAGATGAATCACATAAGACAACTCATAACTAGAGGACAAATGACATTCACATGCTGAGTGGCAAGTCCATTTAGGCAGTAGTAGATTAGAACCTACATGGTAATACCTGCAGAAGCAATAGTAACAAAAAATACTTACCCTCTATACCTCACTTTTTGACTTGGCAGTTAAGCATTTATACTATAGACCAGGGGTTCCCAAACTTTTTAGAATCGCGACCCACTATTCATGACCATAGCTTATGGCGACCCACTCAAATTTACTGG